TAGGAACAAACCCAGGACCTTGCACATGCTAGGCAAGAGCTCTACCACTGAGCTACACCCTCAGCCCTCTATTGTTAGCACTTGCATTAGTGTGCTCACTTGTTACAATTAATGAGTCAGTACTGATACATAATATTAACTGAAGCCCATGGTTTATCAGATTTCTTTATCTAGTGTCTTTTTTCAGTCTAGGACTCATGCAGGATCCCACCTGACCTTCACATCTCCTCAGGCTCTTCTGGGCTGGGATGATTTCTCAAACTTCCCTCATCTTTGATGACCTTAGCAGTTGTCAGGAGTGCTAGTCAGGTGTTTTGTACACTGTCCCCCTGCGGGGGTTTGCTTGATGTTTTTCTCCTGATCAGACTGGGGCTTAGAGTCTGGGGTTTTGGGGAAGAAGACAGAAGAGGTAAAATGCCTTTCTTGTCACATTACATCCAGGCTCTGTGGTATCACCATCATCTCTCACTGGTGTTGACCTTAACTACCTGGTGGAGGCAGTGATGCCAAGCCTCTCACTGTGAAGTTACACTGTTCCCTTCCATACTGCACTCTGGAAGGACATCCCATGCACAGCTGTGGGTGAGGGAGCACCTCAAGTTCAAGGGCAACCTCTAACATTATTTTGTATTTGAGTACTCTTCAGAGTTGTCCTGCCCAGTCATTGGTAACAGTAACAATCTCTACAACACCAAGGCTCCCCAGGCACAGGCCAGCTCTCCACCACCCCCTGAGGCCTTGACCCCTCCCAACACCATTCTCTGCACCCTAACCTGAGCATATGGGGCTCAGCAAGGTTGGGAGACCTGCCCCACAGCCACAGCAGCCCCCATGCTGCCCCCACAGGAGTGACAGGGTCCCAGAACCCATTCCTCCTTGACCCCAAGCTGCACCCCAAGCCTGCCAACATCAGGTCTCACCCTGTCTTTCTCACCCCTGGCCTGCAGTGGAAACGTGGCTCTGCCCTGCACACTGAACAAAACCAAAGCATGCTGGAGGCACTGAGATGCCTTTCCTGTGGCAGGAAGGGAGCAGAACTCCCCAGCAGGAGCCCCCAGGGCATTCCTGCTGATAAGCTGCAGGCCATGAAGGAGGCAGAGCCATTCCACCCATTCTGGAACCAGAAGAGCGTCCCCCATGCTGTGAACAGTTTTGGCCGTGACCTGGTCCAGGGAGGAAGCAGGAGATAAGGGCAGGGCCGTGAAGAGAGAAGACACTTGGCTTTGCCCTAGAAGCCTGTGCATCCAGGCTCCATGGCTTCGGTCTCTTCTGCTCTGGAACTTTCTGCTTACCGACTACAATTGCTTCAATTCAGGAATGAAGAAAAGGGGAGAGTAGTTCTGATTGGGTGGATCCTTCCTCTGGGGAGAAGGCGAAGCTGCCAAGCAGGGGGGTGGAGAGCACTCGGTTGATAGGCACAGGTCTCCCTTGATCCTGGAGGACCAGCTGCCCTCTCAGGCCAGGCTCAGTCAAAGCCACAGGCAGGTCAGAAAGAGAGATGCAGTAGATACGAGCTGGAGCTCTGCTGGGTGGTCACCTCACAAAGGGCTTCTTCTGTTAAGCGCAAATTCACAATCCTGCAGGGCCTGCCTTGCCAGGAGAACAGCTTGCTTGAAATGCAAAGGCTGTCATCCTGTAATTAAATCTGAGACCCCCCTTCCTACGTGATGCTGAGATGAAGCCACTTACATAACACAACTAAAAATATGCTGGTAGAGACATGCACACCGAGGCTCCCTGCCCCCAGCCCCTCTCCAGAGATGCCCACCCTGACTTAGTGGGTGACCCAGGGTTAGCGTTTAAACCTCTGTGGGTCAGATTCTGGATCTGAGGTTGCTCCCTCCTCAGGCCGAGGCTCGGCACACAGTGTGCAGTGGACCCACCGCTTGTACTCAGGGGAGTAAACTCTGGTTCGGAGCTTGGGGGTCCACTCTAGGCAGATCTCCATAGCTACAGTCCTCTTGGCCATGCTCTGCCCAGGTGAAGACTGACAGTCACAAGGAGCAGGAAAGCCAGCAGTGTATGGATTCCGGTCTGTCTCTGTTCTCCGTCATTCTCTGGGAGCTGCTCATTTGCACAAGGCTGCCTCCATCCTGCCCCTACCCCAGATGACCCTGACTGGGAACAAAGCTGCAGGTCTGCCAGGGTGTGGTGGCTGACAGTCTTGGCCCAGACACTTTTCTCAATTTCTCCCGGAAGGATTTGGGAAAAGCGAAACACTCCATCTTGACGATGACTTCCTTCGCTCATCATGGCCAGGATTGGGTGAGATCCCATATGTGGGCCATAATTTCCTAGCTATGCTGACTGCTATACCTCCAGCTGAGATTTCCTCAGCTACCTGACACCTCTCAAGAGTGAGGTTTTGTAAAGGGCTTTGAAAGTCTCCAAAATCAAAAGAGGACAGGGCAAGAGTGGCCTCATAACTCCACTTCAAGCCAGCATCTGGGCTGATCTGTGGATGTCCAGCCTAAGCCTGCCTGCCTGCCCTCTCTCAGGACCTGAGCTCATTACCCTTATTACCCAGCCCCCCACACTGTTAAAGATGCTGCTGCATAAGTCGGAAAGGTGTCAGGGGATGGTGAAGTCAGGCCCAGGGCTAGGACCTCTCAGTGATGCTGGAGGGATGGGTGCTTGTCCCTGGGGGCTGGAGGTGAAGGGAAGGTGCAGACAAGCCCAGATCGTCTTGCCCCGGTCCTCCATCCTACATGACCCCACCCCATGCCAGTCACTGCAACAGTGCACTTTCTCAGTGGTAACGCGCTAAGTCGCAGGTGGGATATGAGTTCATTTTCACTTGCAGCAGGTGTTCTGATAGCCCTCTTCTCACTGCTGCCTTCTGTTCCAGCTGTCCAGCCTCCTGCCCGGCTGCCAGGCGGAGAGAGCAGGCCCAGGCCTGAAGTTGCAGGAAGGCAGGTTGAACTGAGTTAGTCACCAAATATGAGTGTGCCCCTTGGCACATAATCATAGCCTAGAAAAGCACTTGGGGCTTCCACAAGGTGGCCCATAGGTGCTTTTCTGGAGGGGCTTTCCTTTCCCTTTCCCTCTCTCGAGAGCAGGAAATATAGTAGACAAATCCTTCCTAGGCTGCTTTCCCTCTCCCTGTGAGGAGCCCTCCCATTCTTGCTGCCAGCCTCCATCTGTCATTTCTGGTTCCAGACCCTCACTATCCTTTGGGCAGGCAAGTGCTGCTCTCCCCAGATCACCACCTCCATGTTGGTCTGTGACTCAGGCCAGCACTGGGTTCAGGTCAATGGTGTTAAGTTGGTAGGGTGGAGTCTGCGCTGCACTACGTTGGCCCAAAAGAACAGGAATTAGAGGAGCACAAGATGCTTGAGACCTGCCAGTCTCATGAACCAATAAATGCCCTCACTGGTGAAAAGCCAATCGAGCTGGCTTTCTGTCACTTGCAACGACAAAAAAAAAATTGCAGAAAATACACAGTGATGCACCCTAAAACAGTAGAGGCAATAAAGAAAAGGAGGAAGCCAGGGCCAGTAGCTGGAAGGAAACTAAATCCCGACCTTTGAACCCCACGTTCCTTTTCTTTCATCTATATGAAGCAGAGTGGTTCATGCAGGACTGAGTCTCCTGCTTTCTGCCTGGGGGGAGGTCTGACAGCCGTCCTGTGGATATGTCCTTTGGGTACCTGTACTTTTTAAAGGAATGACCAGCTGTCCAGGAATGGGATGCTGGCGAAGTGTCAAGTTTAATTAAACGGAAACATTTAGATCTTGGTGTTTTACAATGTAAAACAAATAATTCCTCTATGTTCGTCTGATTTATGTAAATATTTCTCCAAAAGAACTGCATTGGAACTTTGTGTGCCAACCTGGTCAGCTTTCTTAGCAGAACTTCTGAGGACCTTCCTTAAAAGATCAGGCAGAGGGCTCAAGTGGTAGAGCGAGAGCTCTGAGTTCAAACCCCAACACACACACACACAAAAGAACCCGACTACATGCCATGCCCCAAGGCTCCCCTCTCCCAGGTTTTCCACCCTCTGGATCGTCTCCTGCTATCACCCCCAAGGGTCCTCTCCCTCCCTGAAGCCCCTCAGTCCTAGTGGTAAGATCCTCTCCCCAACCCCCCACTCGCCTCTCTCCAGAATCCCCCCAGGGTCCTCCCTCCCCCAGGGTCCTTCCTTCCCCGGGGTCTTCCTTCCCAACACTCCTCGTTTTCCCCCTCCAGAATCCTAGCCCCAAGTGTCCTTCCAGTGTCTGCTCACGTTAAGGTCCGCCCCTACCCGGGCTCCGGCCCTCAGGATCCAGGGTCCTCCCTCCAGGGTCCAAGACCCTCAACCCAGGGTCTCCTCCCCGCCTGGGTTCTCCTCCCAACCAGAGGATGGCCAGGGTCGCCGCCTGCCTTGCGCGGACTCACCGGCGGAAGTGCGGGAGCAGCCGACCCCTCTCGCGCAGCGCGCTCGGCCCTCTCCACGGTCGCGCGACTCCAGACCTCCGCGGCACCAGGCCGCGACCCTCGGGGCCGGCCGCCCCAACTGCCGTCTCGCGGAGTGCCGCCTCCACGCGCGCTCCAGCCGGCGCCCCCCGCGCCTCCCCCCACCTTCTGCTCCCTCTTCCTGCGCCACCCCGCCCTCCGTGCCCGCCCCCGCTCCCCGCCCCCAGCCCGGCTGTCTCCCGAGCCCCCTCAGGCTGCCCCCGGGCCCCAGCCCGCGCCGCGCCTCCGCCTTCTCCCCTGGATCGACCCCGCCGCCGGCCAATCGCCGTCTAGAGCTGGCCTCCGGGCCCCGCCCCTGATCCCGCCTATCGGCCCCCGCCTCCGGAACCCACCAATGGGAAGGGCGGCGCAGGAGCGGGCCTGGCGGTTGCCTAGCAGCGGCGGGGCTGGGCGGGGGCGGACGGCCGGGGGCGGTGATCCGGACGGGCGGGGGCGGGGCCAGGGGGCGGAGCCAAGGGGGAGGCGTGGCCTCAAGCGACTATAAAAGCGGCCGCTGCCTGCCGCCGCACTCCGTGGTTCTGGTTCGCGCGCCTGCCCATCTTCTTACCTTGCTGCCGCTGCTGCCGCCACCCGCACCCCCGCTTCGGTCTGTGGTGCAGTGGGGACCCAGGACCATGTCGCTGTCACGCTCAGAAGAGATGCACCGGCTCACGGAAAATGTCTACAAGGTGAGTCTACAGCGCCGGGCTGAGTCCGCTCCGGTTGCACTCAAGCCCGAGCAGGACAGCCCCTGTGGCCGAATGGCCGGGGCCCTCTGGGGTCTTTCTGCCCCGGCCTTGGAGTGCAGGCGTGGTGAGCCAGCGCTAGCTGCTCACAGGTGGCCGCGCCCGCCCAGTGTCCCTCGGCTCGCCGCGGAGCGCGCCGCCCCCCCAGCCTGGGGAGGCGCCCCCACCCCGACGGCGCTTCTCGGCCCCCGCGCGCCCTCGGTGCACCCGCCCTGGCGTCGGGGAGGACTGAGCCACGCTGGGCCTGGGGAGCTCTCGGACCCCCTCCGGACCGCTGCAGACCGGAGTGAAGCCGGGGGCGGCGTGGGGGCTGCAGGCTGCCGCGGCCCGTTGCCCTGTGCTCGGTTGGCGCGGCGGCACCGTGGGGCTCTTCCAGGCGCGGTTATGCCAGCCTTTGGACACTTTCTTCTCAACAGGCTTTCCCTTTACACAACTCCTCGGGTGTTAATGGACGTGGCCCAAGGTGGGAGGTCGAGCGCGGGCAGCTTGGACAGATAATCCGTCATCTTATGTAACCGCGGAGGGAGAAGACTAATTGTGTAGGAGGCTGACGCGCCTGCTTTTGCTTCTGATATGTGTGAAGAGTCGCATTCACATCCTCATCTGTGAAATGACAGTTTCCCATCTAAGAACCGCAGAGCCCCCTGGAAGCCTCTCCGCCTCCCTGCCGTCTTGTCATATTTATGTCTTGTGTACAGATGGACAGGCACTTGGTTTTCTGTTTCTTCATCTGTTCTCAGTTCTGACCCTCCAACCCCAAGAACACAGCCCCGGACTCACGGATGGCATCAAGCCCACTGCAGTTCCCCAGGGGTATTTTCTCGAGAGAGATCCCTGCCCTGGCCGGTCTACGGCGGTCCTCTTACAAAGACGGGCTTTATTTCAAAACTGTGTCTGAAGGTTAAGTGAAAGGCTAGCGATTAGAGTGGCGGGTATTTACATGCAGTTGCTGGTTCATGGCTACTGAATGGGATTGTGACCCACTCTTAGAGCAACAGTTTCTAATTGTGTTAACCAGCCATGGCTGGGCCTTCTTAGTCAGTGGCCTGTGAAACCCTCTTAGCTTCTGGGGCTGCCAACAGCCAGATGGAGGCTTTTGGGATAGCCCCTTTGGCTTCAGCTGGAGTCCAGGGGGCAGATTATACTTTAATGCGGCTTTTAATAAAGGCTTTAAAGTTGCAGCTACGTGGGTCTGGAGGAATCCTTAAGGGTGGTTGGTGGGAGTGTGGGTGGTAAAGCGACTCTGAAGCCATGTTAGAGCTACTGGTAAACAGGATTCCGAACAGCCTTTAGGGTTTTTATGTTTGGTGTCACGTAGAATTCGTGGCATATGTTTCTGGTCTTGCTGCTCTGGAAGCACATGCTGTCAAGGGAGGGAGGTTTATTAAATTATTAGTCATTAGTTCCATTACTATTTGCTTTTTATTGCGGGGGGGGGGGTGGGGAAGAGAAGTGCTGGTCCCAGTCATTTTTCCCTGCTTCTACACCGAAACCATTATACAGGAATTCTAGTGGTGAGAAGATGTAGGCTGTGAGGGTAGCTTTGCTCTGGGGAATCCCATGGTCGTCCTTAATACAAGTCATCACTGGGCAGTCAGCCTGCAGTTGCAGCTTCTGGGCTTCACTCACACGCAGCTGTAATTCATCTGGATGTCTGTCCAGTGAAATCTGTTGCAGTGGCAGGAAAACTATCAGAAACAGGGTGCAGGGGGACTGTTAGCTCCTCTGGCTGCAGCCCAGCAGGTTTAGGGCTCACACTAAACATACAGGTTCTGTGTTTTGTATTCGGCGGGCCAGTGGTTGGTGCATTCCCCATGGGAAGGTGTGGAGATGAGCTCTCGACAGGATTTTGCAGGGTTGGACACAAAACAGGCTGTAGATGTTTGAAGGGCTGTTTCACCCTGGGGCCACTTCTGTCCTAGTGATGGCTTGACGGCTGCTGCACAGCAGGTTTAGTTTTGTAGGCAGGTGGCTCTTGCTACCCTGTGGGGGCCTGACTGCTGAGTCTTCAAATCCTGTGCTCTGTTCCCTTTTGTATGTTGTCACTGGGGAGCCCACGGTACTGCAGCAGTGCCAGTGCAGGTTGGGCAGCTTTGGTATGTTGGCCAGGTAGAAACTCACCCACACGGAGGCACAGTCAGGAGACAGCCAAAGCCACCAGTGTGCAGATCAGGGCTGGTTGAGCCAGTCCAGGCACTGCCGTGCTGTCTCCTCCTGCGACCAGGCTGCCTCTGGGTCCCTGTTAGGGGAGCTCCTGTGCCCACTTGGCGCTTGCAGAAGTGCTGGCAGTGCCTTTTGGAAAGGCAGGGATGTGGCCCTGCTTAGTGTCACCCTGCGATGTAGCTCAGCCGTTTGCTTTGGCCCTTGCATTGCCTCAACTGTAGTTCTGAGTGGTGTTTGCCTTGGCAAAGAGGTACATTTGTCCTTGGCCCTGTTGATTAAAAATTCAAGAATAAAATGTACAGTTTTGATTTTTCCTCCTGGAAGAATCTGTAACGCAGACTTTGACCTCTTTCCTGGTAGCTCAGTTCCCTTGGGAGCTGTGTCCTTGGGGAATTTCATGGAAGATGAAGAGGAGAAAAACAGGACAGCTGGGAACTCACCCTTGGACCCTCTGGCTTTACAGGGGAGGGAACAGTGAGGCCAGGAAGGTCCCTCCCTCCATTCACAGGAGGCAAAACCTGGAGCTGGACCTGTGTCCACCTGGCTAGCCTTCTGGATCCAGAGATCCAGGAGTACTGGAGGGTGGGGCTACTGCCCCCAGATGACTGACTGTTCAGTTCAGAATGAAGGCAGTCTAGCCAAGTGTGGTGGTATACAACTGTAATCCCAGATACTCAGAAGGCAGAGGTAAGAAGATTTCAAATTCAGGGCCAGCCCAGGCAAAGTTAGAGGCTATATCTCAAAAACAAAATGAAAGCAAAAGGGCTAGGAGGGTGACTTAAGTGATAGAGTGCTTGCCTAGCAAGCATGAGGCCCCTAGGTTGAATCCCAATACCACAGGAGAGAAAAGGAAAAAAAAAAAAGCAAGGCAGCCTGAAACCTAGGGGCCACCATAGGGGACCCTCCAAGTATTTCGTATGCAGAAGGGGCCTCTTGAGCAACTGTCTGAGTTTCCTGGTAGGGCCAAGAAAGAAGATCAGGTTGACTTTTTCTCATGGTGTTGTATCCTAAGAGAAGCCCTGGCTCTCTGGTAACCCCATGACCCTATGGCCAGTGACTCCAGCACTTTGTCTAGGAACAGTACCATGAGCCTCGCAGAATGCAGTGAGGTAGGAGAGCAGCCTAGAAGAGGCAAGTCCCCATATGGTTATTGGTGTGTGTGGCCCCAGGGCCTTGGATCACTGTGGTCAAGCTGGTCACCAAAGGCTGTCTGATCATCCTCCTCACCCTGGAGCTGTCTGCTGGAAGCTGGCCTAGCTGTGCTGTATCCATTCTGTGAAGATCACAGATGCCAGAGGTCCCTAGAGTCAACTGGGTTTGCTGCCTGTGGTGTGGCTGGCGAGGGCTGGTCCAGGCGGAGAGTATCTGGTGCTGGAGGACAAAGGCCTTCCACCATTCCTACCCAACCCTACCCACTTCCCCAGGAGGGTGTTGTGGGCTGCAGGAAGCATGGGACCCCCCAGAGCCCTGCTGCTGACCTCAGACACAGCGAGGTTCCTTCTCTCTCTCTCTCTTTTTTTTTTTTTTTTTAAGAAGTACAGGCCATAGCTGGGCACCAGTGGCTCACACCTGTAATCCCAGATACTCAAGAGGCAGAGACCAGGAGGACTGCTATTTGAAGCTACCTGGGCAAATAGTTCATGAGACCCTATCTAAAAAATACCTAGCACAAAAAGGGCTAGCAGAGTGGCTTAAGGTAAAGTCCCTGAGCTCAAGCTCCAGCAACCCTACCCCCCTCAAAAAAAAAAGTGCAGGGCAGGGCTGGCAGAGTGACTCAAGCGGTAGAGAGCCTGCCTCGAAAGCGTGAGGCCCTGAGTTCAGATCCCAGTACCCCCACCCAAAAATAAAGCAGGGTTCCATAGAGATAGTGAAGTGGGGTCTCTGACAGTGACTAATGTGGCAGTGGAGCTGCCTGTGTGGAGAACAAACTAGGTGCATCTCTGCTGAGGAGGAGAGAAGTTGCAGTGCCACGCTGCATTCTGTGTGTGCATTTGTGGGGGGTGGGGAGGGTGGTTGTGGGATGTTTTGTGTTTATTTTAGAGGTGCTTCCAGCTGGTCCCTCAGATACCATCTTGGATGGACTCATCTACAACCCCCTGCCCTTGAACACCTTCCGTCATGTCGCAGACCTTCCCCGTTACCGGCAGTGAGACTGTTCACATCTTGTGCCTCTTGTACGATGCCAGTGTAGCAAAGGGCAGCTTTCTGTCACACTGAACTCTGAGCTGGACAGATTCTATCCTGTCCCCAGGCTGTGTCTTGTAGGTCACAGCTCTTCTGTGGGCTCAGAAGGCACCTGGTGTCTGATACATTGTTGCCTATGGTCATTGTTTGCTTGTGGATGTGACCAGGCAGTTCCAGGGGCACCTGGGGCTCTGGACATGGTAGAAAGCTGTGGAATCCTGGCTGGGTTAGTAGAGTACTCGCCTATGCCTGCCATCCTAGGGGGTCTTGGCTTGGGCATGTGTCTTTGTTAAGGTGGTCGGCTTGACTTGGTGGAATGGACTAACTAAACTTGAGGTCAGATTGAAGGCTGGGGCTGCTCAAGAGCCACTGTTTTTTAGGGCTGGAGTAGTCGCTCAAGTGATAGAGAGCCTGCCTACCTGAGTTCAAACCCCAGTACTGCAAAAAAAAAAAAAAAAAAAGCCACTGTTTTGGGGTAAGGGAAATGGCAGCTTGGTGCTGTTGGGAGCTGTGCTCTTGTGCTCTCATGACTTTGGGCTGAAGCTTCCAAAGGTGGGGGCTGGGAGGGCTGGCTGGGCCCTACCCCTTGGCCACAG